TGGACAGTGGAACTTCATTACACCTACAGGGTACCTTGGGTGTTTCTTCTGTGATGCTTCTCAAATGACCCATGTTTATTTTTGTTTGTTTTTTTTTTTATCTCCTTGATAGTCAAGTTGTCCAGCACACCGTTGTCAACCTTTGAAAAAAATAAGATATCAACTTGAGTTGAAGAATTGTACGATATGAAAAGAAAAACTAAAACTAATTAACACAGGAGTATGTTTGGCGACTGAAGCTCACCCTGTAATCTTCAGGGAATTGGGAATGATATCTAGGTTTTCTGCCTAAACATAAGAAAACATGGAGATGATTTAGTTGTGGCCTGATGCTTGGTGCTTAGGTCAAATAAAACCGTGTCTAAATATTAATCCTCCTCCTGTCATTTGTTCTGCACCAGTTTTTGAAAATCTACTGAATGGAAAATGGACAAGAAATGGAAAAATATTGCAAAGTACTTTTAATATATATATATTTTTTTAAATCTCCCTCTCACTTCCCACAGCCATGCAGAGCAGCGTCTCACTGTCTCTCTGTTGTCTGTAGTGGATCCTTCCGCTGGCCGTTGATAAATTATTTAGTTTATTTGTGTTACCAGGAACTGTCTCCCCCACCTAGGTGGTGCAGTGATAGCAGCAAAAAATTGCCCTAATTGATATCAAAGTCTGAGTTAGTTCTTATATAGTTTTTTAAATTGTTGAAATAGTCTAAGAATATTCAATTCAGTTTATCTATATAGTGCCATTTCACAACACGTCATCTCAATGCATTTTACAGAGACTAATTATCCAGGTTATTCAGTCAGGTGGGTTCAAAGTTTTCTATCTAAAGACACCTCCAGCAGAACCAGACTCGGTGTGAGCGGCCATCTGCTGCAACCCTATCCTGAAACAAAGCCAGGCAAACGAGCTCCGATTCAGCTCCCACATCAGAGGATGAAAGAGCACGTACAGTTAAATACAGTCAAAGAAACGCATAAACATGCGTGGTTTTCTAACTTTAAAACGTGATTATTTGCGCCCCGTACCGTACTAGAACTACTTTTTCTGTGGTACATTACTGGCCTTTTCTCAGAGCAAGAGGTTTGGTGACGGTAGGGATTCTGTTACATCTTACCTGCAAACTGTGAACGTTTCACACAACTTCATGTCCAAAAACCAGAACTACCCCTTTAATTCCATCTTAGAAATGCATTGGAGGATTATGAAAGGGATAAATTGACCACAAAACTCAATGTAATTTAAAAAAATATATGTATATATATTTTTTGTCCATTTTAAAGTTATAGTGGTAGGTTTTAGCGAATCTCCACTTGTACAACCCTGTACCTGCTCTCGAGAGGGAATGCCTGTTAAACGCCTGCGAGAGCGTGTACAAGCCCATTCCTCTTCAAGCATGCTCTGTTTAACAGTTGCTTTTTACAGCTCTCATAGAAGTTTACTTTCAAAAAGAAGATTTGCAATTTTTCCACTATGTCAGACTCACCACCGCTAAGTGAAAATGGGGACGAGGATGTACGATGATGATCCAACTGGAAAAAGAACATCCTCACCTATACCTTACAATTTCTGGGGCATTTCAGTTTATGACAAAAAAAAAAAAAATACCACTATTTTAAAACCTAGATTTATCTTAATTAATTAAATATTTCATACAATTGAAATAAATTAAAAGTTACTAAAAGCAATGAACATCTGTTGTAATGACACTCTACTCATGTTCAAGCAGCTTTCTGGCTGTCATCACATTTTGGTACAACAGGGTCTCTACCCTAATTATCCCTCAGGAACAATCACAGAAGGTCTAGAAACCATCCATCATCTCTCGCTTTGCTGCAGTCGCTGTGGGGCTAGTACTGATCTTCAGCAGGTTTAGGGGTGAAAGGCAGAGTCCACCCTGAACAAGGCACCAGTTCATCTCAGGGCAACACAGAGACAAAATCATGCACAATTAATCTAACAGTCATGTTTTTGGACTGTAGGAGGAAGCTGGAGTAACCAGAGAGAACACAAGCATGGAGAGCATGCAAACTCCATGCAGAAAGAGCCTGGACTGGGAATCGACCCAGGATCTTGTTGCTACAAACCAGGATAAGAATCATTAACTAGATGGTTATTGATTCAGGAAAATTATTTAATAAAGTTTTACCAAAGAAAACTTTATTTACCTTTTGGTTTTACATTTCAAAATAAGTTTGAACACCTTCCAGTTGCTATAAATTAGTTAAAAACTTATTTGATCTCATTCCAAATTCTTCAAAATAAACTTTGTTTCAGCGCAATCCTTCCAATAAAGATGTGCGTGGCTCTTGGTTCAGAAGCCTCCAAGTGAGACTCACTTCAGCGCTGTCAGATGTTTTTTAAAGTGACCATGCAATCCAACAAACGTTCTTTCCTCTTAATCAAGACGCTTTATTTTCCAGAAAACAAACTTAGGATTTCTTACGGCGATATGACGTGACAGGCAGATCATATCGGCTCATTTCGTTCCTTTTTATGCCACTCAAAAAAAACAATAATCAATAGCAGTTAAAAACTGTATGGCTGAGTGTCTGAATCCAAGAGCTCACCCGGACCCAATAGCCAACTCTAATATATCTCAGGTGATGGAGTCACTTGTCTATAATGAAGGGGCGGAGGCGAGAAACAGCGTAGATTATGCACAGCAGAAACAATACAACTAAACAAATTCATTATTTCATAATTAAGTCAACTCATACTTCAAACCAAAATATTTCAAGCTCATATATGTCACACCAAATCAGACAAAAATAGTAAACTAGAAATAAATATTCAATCATAAATCAAGCATTTGGCTCCAACACTGTGTTTCTCAAATATAAAATCCAAGTTGTTCTGTAATATTATTTTATTGTTCATGGTTGTCAACGATTTTTATTTAACCACGGTTTTTAACTTGAATCACACTTCATCTGTTCTACCACTAAGTTTGGTTGCACAGCACAGGAACGGGTTGTGGTTGTGACATGGGGTTAATTAATGCAACATAGATGCAACTTCTTCCAGTTAGAAACTCACCAGAGCCACTGATCCATCTCTTAGCAACCCCAAACACTGAGTCCTGGACATGAAGTGATTCTGAAAGCAAGTATTCAGCTGGTGGTACTGCCCAGATCTGGAGCTGATCTGGCTGCACTGACGCTGTTATTCAGTTTTTCAAATTATGTGACTCGCTCTCAGCCATGGTGAGTGGATCAGACATCATGATATATTGTGATCCATGGAGCAGAAAATATGGCGAAACACCAAGCCAATAGCAGCTCCTCGCAGTTGAAGTGAGCTGGGCAGAATTTTTCCACGTTGTTCTCAGCCGGGAACTGAAGATCAAGCAACCGATTCAGAAATTCATGCTTCCTGTTTGAGAACAGGGAGAGAAAAGGGTAAAATAAAAAGTTTACTGGGCAATCCAAGTTCTCATTTACTGCAACCTGACCTGAGCTTTTATTTCGGACTTTTGCTTTTGGATCTTTAAAATATCTACAGTTTTTTATATATCAAAGAAGAAACTTTTACCTTGTTTTTAAAAAGGGAGTCACTGCATTGAATACTTAATTTTTCTTCGCATAAAGCAGATTAGCACTGCTAACTGTAGCAGGTGAAATAGACAAGTATACCAATTCTTTTTTTAATGTGTACACTATTTACAGTATATAAAATATTTTAACTCCCAACCTTTTTAGTTATCATAACCATAAACCTAATTTTTGTTTATTTTTCTTTTTTTCCAACCCTCGTCATCCATTTTAACATAGGGATACAAACCTCAACTGAATTATTACTTTTTTTAAATACCAAATTTTAAATTGCAAAAGTCTCAATCAACCCCTTAGCAAAAAGCAGTATCCATAAAGTATACTAAATTTTTAAATTTACTAAAGTATACTTAAAGTATACTTTAATAAACACTTTTTATACTTCTCAGTGTAAGTCAAGTACACTTGACTCTACTAATGTTAAGTATATGAAATATAGTTTAGAAGAAGTAAACTCTAAGTGCACTGCCTGATTTTAAGTATGAAATTAGTGCACTTTAAGAATACTTGAATAAAATACTTTTTGCTAAGGGATGTTTTTAATCCAATTTCCACTGATTTAGATAGATAAATTAAAACGTTAAGATTAAGAAAAATTAAAAGCAATGGATATTTACTTATTTCAATACTTTACTTTTGCATTCAGGTTTTAGAGACATCTCATCTCAAACATCTCATTTTTTAAAATGAGAAACCAAACAATGAACCACACAAAGTATCTTTGGGGCTTCAATTCACTCTACATTACTTACATAATATATAATAGTGCTTTGTCCTCTGATTAACGCTAAATCAGACATTGTATCTATGGATCCTGACATGAATATTTATTTTCATGTTCAAACTTCTGATAAGAATTAAACTAAAACCAGATATGAGGAAAAAGCTGATAGGAGTTTCTGTTTATTAGATGGGGACAAGTAATATATTTCACATATGATATACTGTAGCATTTACACCTCATGTAAATGGAAGATCTGCAGATCCATAGTGAGCTAGAAGATAAAGGTTTAAATGACAAACAATAGAGAATAAAAGGCAGATTATTCTTCTGCATCCGCACACATCAAATGTCGCTTGGGTCTGATCGTGAACCAGTTTTTGCTGGTATGCTTCTGCAATGTTGGTATGGAATTTCTGGGGACGCACAGCAGTTTTCCGCCAAAGCGCTAGGGGGAGCCTATTCGAGAACTCGCGAGAACTTCGGCGGATGTTCACGAGAACTTCGGCAGCACCGGCGGAAATCTTCCAAAATAACAACAATCTAACACAGCAGAATTTATGGCGTTTGAGTTTTCTATGAAAATAAGATAACACTTTTTAAAATCATATTTTCTACAAGTATAATAAAATATACTCAGGTCCCGCATTGTTAACAGAAAGCAGAAATTATTTTTACCGTAGTACTATTACGATCCTCAGTTATATCTTTAGCCAACAGGGGGCGGTACCAACCACTAGTTAATACAAGAGGCAGCTGTGACGGTTAATTCCGGTTTAGCCGTTAGCATAGTTAGCTTAGTTGTGTCAATCGCTGTGGTGGGATCCAGTCTGAGTCTGCGCAGCAACAATGTGTTCAGTTCAGCCTCTGAGAGAGTTTATCAGACAGAGACTAACTGCTGCTGCTGAAGAAATCTTCTCAGAGGTGGAAAAAACCATCATCCAGTACGAGGAGGAGATCGACCGTCAGAGACTGCTGGACATCAGCTGGAGACCCCGAATCGAACAGAACCAAGCAGGTAGGTCCAGTCGGTCTGTGGAGGCACACCTCGGATTTAGTTCAGGATCAAAGTGATTCATGAGATGATCCGTTTCTGTCTGAAAGTCAGAGATCAGCTGGTTTCTCGTCTGGTTATGACAACGAGCCAATAATAAAGCGCCTCTTGGACATTAAAATAGACAGCTTCCGGAGTTTTTGATCAGCTGTTGTAGAATATATTACTAAACTTTAAGAACATCAATACATAATTGAAAAATATCCATCAGCTCCATAACACATATATTAAGCTAAAACCTATTTATAAAGATGTTTTTATTTCACGTTTTAATGATTTTGTTATAATCCCTGTTAAGTTACAGTTTGTATCTGATCCTACTTGAATGTGTTGTTTATATAAAGACATCTAAACGGATTTAATGCACACCTACAAGCAGTACTTCAGATGGTGGGGGTGACATCCCCCCTCTCAAAAAAACACCCCCCCCCATACCATCCCCTGTTACATTTTATTACGGAATGTGTAAAATTTCTACCATATATTAACAGTAATGGTAATATTATTGCCCTTTCAATATTTCGCAGGCTGTAGGCTTACAAGTAGCCTGAGCAAAATAAAGCAAATCAAAGAAGTGTCCTTTCATGGCTATGAAGCTGATCCCAGTGGGAAATTAGTAGCTAACTATGAACTGACTGCAGTTCTACTGTAAGGTGTCTTGGTCAAGGTAAATGACCGGCGTACCTGACATGTAATAACCAGACCATGCATAGTGCTTTAATTTAATAGACTATATCAATTAGGCTATGCATGCTTCCAAAAAGAATTCCACCATCTGCCTTCTTTTTTTACTACTAGACTACAGCCTACAAGCTTGCTAAAAGTTACTGCTTTTCTCTCTCATCATGTAGGGCAGTTGGTCCTCGAGGACCGCTGTCCTGCAGGTTTTAGAGGTTTCTCTGCTTTAGCACAGCTGATTCTGATGATTGCTGTTCAGCAAAAGCCTGTTAATCAGCTATCAATGAAAATCAGCTGTGCTGGAGCAACTCCAGGACCGACTTTGCCTGATGTAGGGTAAAAACACCATGAGACAGAAATACTTGTGAAAAATCAGTTTTCTATTAAATTAACAAGATCATTTCTACAAAAAATAAATAAAAAGCAATTTTCTCAATCAACAAGATAATTATTATAAAAAAAATATTTATTTCTGTAAAAAATAATCTTAATTCCAAAAAAAAAAACAGACAAAACTGTCTTTTTCTTAGTTGAATTTAACACCCTTTTGTAATGTTCAGCTTTGTTGCTATAAATGCTGTAAATCTGAATGCCATTTCATTTTATTATTTTTTTGAGTAACTTAAAACCATGGGAACACGTCGACCATGTTTTATGGGTAAAGTCAATATATACCGTATTTTCACGACTATAAGGCGCACTTAAACGTCTTTTTTTCCCCTCAAAATGTGCGGTGCGCCCTATGGTGCGGTGCGCCCTATGTGTGTTGTAACTGCGACTTTTGAGACCACCTCATTGAGGAGATGATGAAAGAGTGGCTGAATGTAAGGAGACCAGGTGTTTTTTTTTCCACTCATCACCATTAATCTGTAACTCCATGCGTGCCCATCTCACAGCTGATGTGAAAAACATGGGGAAACAAATTAACCCTGTGCTCGCTGTTCAACCGCTCAACATCGGTGTGAACCGGACCCAGCAGGTGCAGCAGAAGCAGCGAGGAATAACGTGTCTGCTGGCTCTGTTCTTCAAGCTTTTGCAAAAGCAGGCATTATTTCTGAGGAGCCGCGCTGCACGGAAAGTGACTCTGACAGCGCAGAAGGGGAAACTGGCATGTCTGATTTAGCGCAGCTGTTTAATTCAGAAACAGAGGATGAGGACTTTGATGGGTTTGATTAATACTTTGTAATAAATACTTAAATAAAGCACAATCATACTCAGTTTTGCTCCCGCTCTATTTTTCTACCTGAAAACTTAATTCAACAGCAGGCTCTGGGCCGCGGCGCATCCGGACTCACCTCGGCAGGTGTTTTTTCATCTAAATAATCTAAATCTTTTTAAGTGAGAAAGTCCACCTGAAAATTTAATCATTGCAGTCAGCTCATCCAGATTATTATCATGCCTATGTTTTAAGTTAATTTATGCGTCAATAAACGAAGAAGAAGGGGAAACTGGCATGTCGGATTTAGCGCAGCTGTTTAATTCAGAAACAGAGGATGAGGACTTTGAGGGGTTTGATTAATACTCTGTAATAAATACATGAATAAAGCACAATCATACTCAGTTTTGCTCCCGCTCTATTTTTCTACCTGAAAACTTAATTCAACAGCTGCCTCTGGGCCGCGGCGCATCCAGACTCACCTCGGCAGGTGTTTTTTCATCTAAATCAGTGGTCTCCAACCCTGGTCCTCAAGATCTACTGTCCTACAGATTTTCCCTGCTTCAACACAGCTGAATCAAATGATTGATTACCTTTTCAAGCCATTCATTTGATTCAGCTGTGTTGAAGCAGGGATGCATCTAAAATCTGTAGGACAGTAGATCTTGAGGACCAGGGTTGGAGACCACTGATCTAAATAATCTAAATCTTTTTAAGTGAGAAAGTCCACCTGAAAATTTAATCATTGCAGTCAGCTCATCCAGATTATTATCCTGCCTATGTTTTAAGTTAATTTATGCGTGAATAAACGAAGAAGAAGGGGAAACTGGCATGTCGGATTTAGCGCAGCTGTTTAATTCAGAAACAGAGGATGAGGACTTTGAGGGGTTTGATTAATACTCTGTAATAAATACATGAATAAAGCACAATCATACTCAGTTTTGCTCCCGCTCTATTTTTCTACCTAAAAAACTTAATTCAACAGCAGGCTCTGGGCCGCGGCGCATCCGGACTCACCTCGGCAGGTGTTTTTTCATCTAAATAATCTAAATCTTTTTAAGTGAGAAAGTCCACTTGAAAATTTAATCATTGCAGTCAGTTCATCCAGATTATTATCCTGCCTATGTTTTAAGTTAATTTATGCGTCAATAAATTGTATCAGAGGAGTAATCACAGCCCTGTGTCATCAGCGATGTGTCTCTCATGGCCAGCTCCCAGGTTTGAATAATACTTTGTAATAAATACACCTTGCAGCTTTATTTGCTGTGATCAGTGGGAATAAAGTAGTTTTAATATGTTTTTAAGTGGGAAAATCCACCTGAGAGGACATGTACCTGTATATAAAAAACGCGCCCTATAGTCCGGTGCGCCTTATGTGTGTGTTAAATACAGAAATGGGACACATAACTGAGAGTGCGCCTTTTAGTCCGGTGCGCCTTATGGTCGTGAAAATACGGTAGTTGAGAATAAAGTTGAAGAAAATCAGAATTCTCTTTCTCATCTTCCCTTCCATGTCCTTTGTATACGATTTAACTCCCTAAATCATGTAATCAATATACAAGTCTGCCTTACATACAGTCACAACAGTCATAACTGTATGGTTATGAAAGCAAAGCTGTTGGGCTATCAGCTAGACCTGGGACATCTATTCCTGAAGCTATATTGGCAAAACAGAACACACACAAACACACCGACACACACACAAAAACTAAATGCATCTTCCAACGGAGTGGAACGATTACAATTTCTTCTTTGCTCTTCCCCTTGTTTTCCTTCCAAGTCCAACAAGTTTATCTATGATGTATAAATCTATTCTGGATCCAAACACTTTTGCCGTACTGCTGGCTGTATTTCCTGATAAACTATTTCATTTCATACTTCCTCCCCGGGGGCAGAAAGATTCTCTTCTGTTTGTCTTGCTGGCTTCCATCTCATTGGTCGACAGGAAATACCAAATTCTGTCCTCTGTTTTTGCTCAGGAACCAGCATTGTTTCCCCCACTATTTTATAAGCCCTTACACCACCAGATTCTACCTGGCTCATCTGCATACAACTTGTATTAAACGGGTATTAGCCAGGGCTGAAACAATCTGATTAATTTGGATTAATGAATTATTGAAATAATTGTCAACTAATTTAGTCATTGATTAATTCCTTACTGGAGTATAGAGACTGTAAAACATGCCTTTAGCTGACAGAGCAACCCACTTAAACCCTGAACACACCGAATCCAAATTTCATTGGTCTTGCAGGAAGAGAGGTACGGTTAAAAAGTAAAACACATCCGCTTTTGGGGAAAATGCAATAAAATCTGTCAATTGCACAGGAAAACAGTCACACAGTGAATATATAGCAGGCGGGACAGACTCTTGCAAAAACAATCAATGAAACATTAAAAAATAATACGTCTCCCATGATAGGAGCTCAGATGGACACAAAAATGGCTAAAGTTATGATCCTCTTTAAGCCCCAGAAAAAACAATGAGACAGGTGAAAACACAGGTTATCACTCTACTTGAGGAAAATACATTTTGACAAACTTCAGGATACAGTAAATTAACCATCCTCTTGGACAAAAAAGACACAAAGTGCAGGTAACCTCATCGTTCTCCCCTCTTTATAAAAAGAAAAACAGAAACATATATAAACTTCACAGATCTCTCTCTAAGAGTCATCTCACTGCCTCAGTCGGCATATAAACGAAACCCGGTGGTTTCGTCGTACAGTGTGAGCTGTACCTGCGTGCAACGATTGAAATAATTGCACAGTGGGGTTTTCTTTACAGCTGCGCCAGTGTTTTTTTCATTTATTTATTTTTTATAACATTTCCTAATCTGTCCAAATCAAATGTGGGGAAACTGTTTTAATTTGTGTGGCACAGACAGAAGTAAAAAAAAAATAAAATCTGAACAGATCTGCTCACACAGCCTAGCGGGAGCCTCTGTATCCGCAGTCAGTGTGGCATGGAAAAAAATCGGATAGGAGATTAAAAATTCCTACGCAAAAGGTGTTTTCAGGCTTTTAGAGAAGTAATTATATCAAAATTGTAAAGAAAAAAATATATATATTTTGCATTTAAAGCTACAGTGTGTAATAATTACAGGGATATACAGTCAGAAATGTAATATATTATACATAACTATGTTATTTATCATCATGTACGAGCTCAGCCTCTTAACCTTAATATTTGCGTTGCCTTAGAATTCGTTATTTATAATTACATAGGAGCGGGTCTCGCAGCCATGGAGGCAGACATCTTTGCGCTACGGCAGCGCAGAGCCAACAAACTAGTGATTGCGAGATCGCCAAAACGTCACAACGATGTAGAAAAAATAACGGGTATATTTATTATCTTAAGTTTACATGAAATCTATACCCTACACAGACTAATGAAATACTATCTGTAAAATTATCTATGTAAACAAACCTCATCACTTGAGAATTGACCAATTTATCGATTAGGAAAAATAATTAGTTGTAGCCCTAGTTTCAGCTTCATCTCCTCTATATAAATCACAAACAGATGAGGGCCTATTTGATACCTGGGCATCATTACAGTTGGGGAGCGGTTTATACCAAAGCCATGTGTTTGCCCAAAAGCTGAAAATGTATACGCTATAAATATTTAAGACATCTCAGATCACACCCAACAACAGACAAAATAAATCACACTTGTCTCCACCTCGTTTTCAGTCCTCTAAACGGCAACATTCAGCAGTAACTTTCCATGCAATGCACCATGAATGTCAGTGTTTTTCTAAATGAGCCAGCTGATGGTTACTAATGAAAAGAGCAAAACGTTTTTTTTTTAGCTGAGACTAAAATAGATGGGAGGAAGAGTTGGGGAAATAGGTTTGGTAGCCAGAATGGAGGCTTAATAAATAAAATAAGCTTTTTATAAATGCTTTCAGATAGATGGACAGATCGCCTAAACAAATAAATAATTTATACATTCCTCTCATTTTGAAATGTATATCAAATGTTATCCATTATGGTATGCTACAGGTACAGTGCTGGTTTATGTTTTTAGAACTGTTCACCCAGCTACAATTACCTTCATTTCTATGTCAGAATGAAACCAATCTGTTGTTCAACACCTGGGATTAATTGTGTTGGCAATTCCCGGCAGGTCTACTCAGTACTGGACTCTGTTGGCACACAGATTAAAGGTGATGCTGTAGGGCACGGGTGTCAAAGTGGTTCCAGAAAGGGCCACGTGGCTGCGGGCTTTCTTTCCATCCAAGCAAAAGCACACCGGACTCCAGTCATCTCATCAAGTGAGTCCAATCCGAACATGATTACTTGATGAGATGACTGGAGTCTGGTGTGCTGTTGCTTGGTTGAAAAGAAATCCTGCTGCTAAGACACCACTGCTGTAGAATGTTAACCCTTTAACTGCCTTGTCAACCTACAGTTTGTTTAGCAAATATACAATTATGTGTTTGACCAGGAAGAAGGGTTAAAGTAGCTCATTATCACAGTAAAACCATTTTCTTATCTCCTTTCAGGCCTTGGACATCACTTCTATGGGGAGGACCTTCCTACTGACCATGAGAGGAGCTTCAGTCCAGACCAGGAGACACCAGAAACTACACAGGGGACGAGAGAGCTGGAGGCAGTCGGCACCAATGAGGATAAGGAGCTTGTCCTGAAGCAGGAGACTGATGCCATTATGGTGACTGTTGATTATGACGAAAGAGAACAGAGCAAACCAGAACCAAGCAGCCACTGGCTCCTCTCCCAGAGCCATACTGAAAACAAAGAGGGAAGACTTAACAACGTTTTGAATCCAAAGAAAACAGCAGAGGAGACTAGAAATCGAAGTGACAGATCAGACCTTCTGTATCCGTGTCCCATTTGTGGAAAATGTTTTGCAAAGAGCAATTACTTAACCAAACACAAGAGGATTCACACCAGCGAGAAACGATTTGTCTGTGATCAGTGCGGGAAAGCTTTCAGCAACACCAGTTATTTAGCTAATCACAAGAAAACCCACAGCGGCATGAAGCCTTTTGCCTGCCTCATCTGTGGGAGAGTGTTCACTCAGCAAATCCACATGACTGACCACATGAGGATCCACACAGGGGAGAAACCCTTCCCCTGCTCCACATGTGGGAAATACTTCAGGCAAAAAAGCAGCTTAAATAAACACATGAAAACTCAGCATAAGAAACTGCAGCCATAATCTCGATTAGAAGCAGCTCAATACAGCCTGTACCTGAATCCCAAGCCGTGTTTCAGACTCAGAAACAATTAGCTCTTCCCAGTTCCAAGCTACAGGGAGGACTCTTAAAGTTTTCTGGAGTCGGAAGGAGCATCAAGAACAGATAAAGTGGAACAAAGAAAGGTTCCTGTTTTTTCCCTGACTCTAACTTTCACAACAGAATTGGTTCTGCTCCAAAAACATTCCCTGCTTCAGTGGGAGAACCAGCTACGCCGGCACAGAGAAAGTCTGCAGTGTTGGATCCCAGATATCTCCATTGCTGTTGACCCATTCCAGGGAGTAAAATATGGCTGAAGCTGTTTTTAAATGCAAGCCCAATGTTGTGATGAAGCATTGTTGGTTCAGAAAATCCAGCTTTGATTTGTTATAATTACTGAAATATAAATTTCAATAGTATAAATATCTCTGAAGAACATTGAAAAGACTAATTAATAAAGAAATATGTTTTTAGTAAAGGTGCCAGCAGCTGCACTGCAATGTTGTATATCTATGTATATATAAAAAAGACCTAAATGAAAATGTATACTTTACCAGTTCAGAAACAGAATAATCTGATATGAAGGATGCATTCAGGGAGCAGCAGATCCTTTCAATAATGTATCCATGTGTTTTTTATTGAATCTTTATGTAAATCGGAGGATCCTACTTCCTGGAAGAATTTTTAAAATAAAATTTTCTTTAATTGAGACAGTATCTGCATAAGAGTCTAAATATGAACCAAAGTCCAGAGTATCTTCTGATTACCGTTTATTAGATTTTTATCTCCGTTCCTTGGGTCATCTCCTGCCACTAGAGCGTGCTAATGCTGTTGTAGGTGAGACGTATCATGTTCACTTCCTGTTTTGACTGCTTAGCAGCGTGTTGTTCACACTATCTCCATCTAAATTAAGTTATTTTTTATGTGATATCTGTATCTCAGTAACTAACTCTCCAGAACCACTTTAAAACATAGCACCTTCTGCTGCAATTCCCTACTGAGCACTTGTCAGTTTCACACAATTTTATTTCTGGTAGTAAGGAGTAGCTAGCCCAGGCTGGTGCTAGCTTAGCATCGCTATGGCTTCTCTTTCTCCCTCCCTTGACTGTTCTCCTGCTCTCTGTGTCAGATGTTCAGTTATTCCTCTGCCTCCTTTAGTGATAATGGTATTTGTAATCAGTGTAGTATTTTTTTGTAGCTTTGGAGGTGAGGATGTCAGAGTTAGAATCCAGGCTTCAGGCTGTTGAACATCCAGGAGTTAAGTTAGGCCCCCCACGTAGTAGTCCTCCAAAAGTGCCCGAGCAGCCAGGCGATTGGGTAACTACGCAAAAAGCGTAGTCGTGGATCTCTGCCCACTGGTCACCACAACCCTTTTATGTTTTTAACCGATTTTCCCCGCTCAATTTGTATTTGAGATCCAGTTCAAACCAAGTTAATTAAGGTAATGTTCCTTCTTATTTTCTCTGCCATTTTAGATGTGATTAATCTATCCCTGTTACAGGGGTAAATACCTCTCTCTAAGAGTCATCTCACTGCCTCAGTCGGCATATAAACGAAACCCGGTGGTTTCGTCGTACAGTGTGAGCTGTACCTGCGTGCAACGATTGAAATAATTGCACAGTGTATGCCCGGCTTAAGTGGGGTTTTCTTTACAGCTGCGCCAGTGTTTTCTATTTATTTATTTTTAATAACGTTTCCTAATCTGTCCAAATCAAATGTGGGGAAACTGTTTTAATTTGTGTGGCACAGACAGAAGTAAAAAAAAAACAAAAAAAAACTATCTGAACAGATCTGCTCACACGGCCTAGCGGGAGCCTCTGTATCCGCAGTCAGTGTGGCATGGAAAAAAATCGGATAGGAGATTAAAAATTCCTACGCAAAAGGTGTTTTCAGGCCTTTAAGAAGTAATTATATCAAAATTGTAAAGAAAAAAAAATATATTTTGCATTTAAGATAAAAAAAATAATAATTTTTGACTGTTAATATGCTCTATCCAGATCTCCTCAAGTGTCAAAATCTTTAAGGATCCTTTTGCTATCCAATTATTAATTGATTAATCAAAAATATAATTGACCAATTTATTGATTAGGAAAAATAATTAGTTGTAGTTTCAGCTTCATCTCCTCTATATAAATCACAAACAGATGAGGGCCTATTTGATACCTGGGCATCATTACAGTTGGGGAGCGGTTTATACCAAAGCCATGTGTTTGCCCAAAAGCTGAAAATGTATACGCTATAAATATTTAAGACATCTCAGATCACACCCAACAACAGACAAAATAAATCACACTTGTCTCCACCTCGTTTTCAGTCCTCTAAACGGCAACATTCAGCAGTAACTTTCCATGCAATGCACCATGAATGTCAGTGTTTTTCTAAATGAGCCAGCTGATGGTTACTAATGAAAAGAGCAAAACGTTTTTTTTTTAGCTGAGACTAAAATAGATGGGAGGAAGAGTTGGGGAAATAGGTTTGGTAGCCAGAATGGAGGCTTAATAAATAAAATAAGCTTTTTATAAATGCTTTCAGATAGATGGACAGATCGCCTAAACAAATAAATAATTTATACATTCCTCTCATTTTGAAATGTATATCAAATGTTATCCATTATGGTATGCTACAGGTACAGTGCTGGTTTATGTTTTTAGAACTGTTCACCCAGCTACAATTACCTTCATTTCTATGTCAGAATGAAACCAATCTGTTGTTCAACACCTGGGATTAATTGTGTTGGCAATTCCCGGCAGGTCTACTCAGTACTGGACTCTGTTGGCACACAGATTAAAGGTGATGCTGTAGGGCACGGGTGTCAAAGTGGTTCCAGAAAGGGCCACGTGGCTGCGGGCTTTCTTTCCATCCAAGCAAAAGCACACCGGACTCCAGTCATCTCATCAAGTGAGTCCAATCCGAACATGATTACTTGATGAGATGACTGGAGTCTGGTGTGCTGTTGCTTGGTTGAAAAGAAATCCTGCTGCTAAGACACCACTGCTGTAGAATGTTAACCCTTTAACTGCCTTGTCAACCTACAGTTTGTTTAGCAAATATACAATTATGTGTTTGACCAGGAAGAAGGGTTAAAGTAGCTCATTATCACAGTAAAACCATTTTCTTATCTCCTTTCAGGCCTTGGACATCACTTCTATGGGGAGGACCTTCCTACTGACCATGAGAGGAGCTTCAGTCCAGACCAGGAGACACCAGAAACTACACAGGGGACGAGAGAGCTGGAGGCAGTCGGCACCAATGAGGATAAGGAGCTTGTCCTGAAGCAGGAGACTGATGCCATTATGGTGACTGTTGATTATGACGAAAGAGAACAGAGCAAACCAGAACCAAGCAGCCACTGGCTCCTCTCCCAGAGCCATACTGAAAACAAAGAGGGAAGACTTAACAACGTTTTGAATCCAAAGAAAACAGCAGAGGAGACTAGAAATCGAAGTGACAGATCAGACCTTCTGTATCCGTGTCCCATTTGTGGAAAATGTTTTGCAAAGAGCAATTACTTAACCAAACACAAGAGGATTCACACCAGCGAGAAACGATTTGTCTGTGATCAGTGCGGGAAAGCTTTCAGCAACACCAGTTATTTAGCTAATCACAAGAAAACCCACAGCGGCATGAAGCCTTTTGCCTGCCTCATCTGTGGGAGAGTGTTCACTCAGCAAATCCACATGACTGACCACATGAGGATCCACACAGGGGAGAAACCCTTCCCCTGCTCCACATGTGGGAAATACTTCAGGCAAAAAAGCAGCTTAAATAAACACATGAAAACTCAGCATAAGAAACTGCAGCCATAATCTCGATTAGAAGCAGCTCAATACAGCCTGTACCTGAATCCCAAGCCGTGTTTCAGACTCAGAAACAATTAGCTCTTCCCAGTTCCAAGCTACAGGGAGGACTCTTAAAGTTTTCTGGAGTCGGAAGGAGCATCAAGAACAGATGAAGTGGAACAAAGAAAGGTTCCTGTTTTTTCCCTGACTCTAACTTTCACAACAGAATTGGTTCTGCTCCAAAAACATTCCCTGCTTCAGTGGGAGAACCAGCTACGCCGGCACAGAGAAAGTCTGCAGTGTTGGATCCCAGATATCTCCATTGCTGTTGACCCCTTCCAGGGAGTAAAATATGGCTGAAGCTGTTTTTAAATGCAAGCCCAATGTTGTGATGAAGCATTGTTGGTTCAGAAAATCCAGCTTTGATTTGTTATAATTACTGAAATATAAATTTCAATAGTATAAATATCTCTGAAGAACATTGAAAAGACTAATTAATAAAGAAATATGTTTTTAGTAAAGGTGCCTGCAGCTGCACTGCAATGTTGTATATCTATGTATATATAAAAAAGACCTAAATGAAAATGTATACTTTACCAGTTCAGAAACAGAATAATCTGATATGAAGGATGCATTCAGGGAGCAGCAGATCCTTTAAATAATGTATCCATGTGTTTTTTATTGAATCTTTATGTAAATCGGAGGATCCTACTTCCTGGAAGAATTTTTAAAATAAAATTTTCTTTAATTGAGACAGTGTCTGCATAAGAGTCTAAATATGAACCAAAGTCCAGAGTATCTTCTGATTACCGTTTATTAGATTTTCATCTCCGTTCCTTGGGTCATCTCCTGCCACTAGAGCGTGCTACTGCTGTTGTAGGTGAGACGTATCATGTTCACTTCCTGTTTTGACTGCTTAGCAGCGTGTTGTTCACACTATCTCCATCTAAATTAAGTTCTTTTTTATGTGATATCTCTGTATCTCAGTAACTAACTCTCCAGAACCACTTTAAAACATAGCACCTTCTGCTGCAATTCCCTACTGAGCACTTGTCAGTTTCACACAATTTTATTTCTGGTAGTAAGGAGTAGCTAGCCCAGGCTGGTGCTAGCTTAGCATCGCTATGGCTTCTCTTTCTCCCTCCCTTGACTGTTCTCCTGCTCTCTGTGTCAGATGTTCAGTTATTCCTCTGCCTCCTTTAGTGATAATGGTATTTGTAATAAGTGTAGTATTTTTGTAGCTTTGGAGGTGAGGATGTCAGAGTTAGAATCCAGGCTTCAGGCTGTTGAACATCCAGGAGTTAAGTTAGGCCCCCCACATAGTAGTCCTCCAAAAGTGCCCGAGCAGCCAGGCGATTGGGTAACTACGCAAAAAGCGTAGTCGTGGATCTCTGCCCACTGGTCACCACAACCCTTTTATGTTTTTAACCGATTTTCCCCGCTCAATTTGTATTTGAGATCCAGTTCAAACCAAGTTAATTAAGGTAATGTTCCTTCTTATTTTCTCTGCCATTTTAGATGTGATTAATCTATCCCTGTTACAGGGGTAAATACCTCAGGTTGGACTACAGAATTACAGTAAAGGTAAATTACCTTACAGTTTGTGTTTGACACCACAAGTAAGTCTAGTCTAGTTAATACTATACAAATTTAGTTTAAATTTCTCCTATTCTATCAGTCTTTTATTCGCTTCCTGTTTAATCCAGAATACAATTTAAAATTGTCCTTCTCACACATAAAGCCCTAAATAACCAAGCTCAGTGATTTAATTATTCCTTATGTTCCTAACAGCACTTCGCTCTCAATCTGCATTTTCACTAGTGGTTTTTAGAATTTCTAAATGTTGAACAGGAGGCAGATCTTGGTTATCAGGCTCCTTTCCTGTGGAACCAAATACTAGTTTTAGTTTGTGAAGCAGACACCCTGTCTG